CTATGAATACGAGTATTAGATTTAGAATGTGTGTGTGCTGCAAAAATAATTACTAACGCGTGTAATCATAATTAAATAACTTAATCATTATGATTAATTAATTTTTAAAATTTATAAAGAATTACATTTTTATTCTCTTTCTCTGATAGACATTTAAAAATTCAGATTTTAAAATGTCAAAATATGTAAAATTTCAGAGATTTAAATTTTAATCGTAAATACCTCAAAAAATTATAATTTTAAGCATTCCACATTCTTCAACTCTGAAAGCTCTTGAATCTTTGAACTCTGTTTCCGTGTATGTTTTCGATTATACTTTATGATAAAATATTAATATGAATATTAATGTTATCAGAACTTTAGGTCCTTTAATAGTGTATCGTTCACATTCGTGAATAATGAATTCATGCATTACCGTCGGAATATTTAACTTTCCAAATCTTGAATTCTCTCGGATCTTTTGATCTCAACATCGCAAATGTATATCTATATATAAAATAAAGCGAATAGAGAGAGCAAGCTCTCTGAGAGAGATTTACCTCGTACGCTCTGAAAAGCAGATAGAGCTCCCTCGGCTTGGTGTCCATCGGCAAGCCGCTCACGAACAAGGTGCGCACCTGAAACAGGAGAGAAAGAGAACGATAATTGAGTTAATTAACCTAATTGGCTAGTGTAGAGGGAAAGAACAGCAACGGAGAAACACAGAGACAGAGAGAAATACAGAGACAGAGAGAGAGAGAGAGAGAGAGTGAGAAGACGAGCGAAGAGGCGTATAATTCAGACTCCAGACTGAGAGACAAGAAAACCGACTTTCTCGATTCCTGCCCTCGTCTTGTTAGATAAATCGATAGCTAATTGCAGAATCAATGTAAGATGCCCCGAGACAGGAAGAAGCCGAATCAGTCCCCCTCGTTCGTCATCCTTTTTAATTTCGCGATTAATTCGGCAATTTATGGAGGCGATCCCAATTAATTGTGGCACAACCCCTAGAGATCTTTGAAAGTGATTCCCGAAGATGTTTCTTCCCTCCTCGCGATATCAATCACCTTTTCCGGTCGCTCGTTATTAACGTCGGTGTAGCTGAATTAATGTGATATTATTTCGCTTTCAATGGAGAATGTAAATCGGGTTTTCGTATTGAGTGCCATCATCGGGAACAACGCGGAAAGAAAGGAGACTGATGCTGATTCAACGCAGCTTTCGCTAGCGAATGCTTGTTAAATACAGTTGGTGCGCAGATAATTGTTAATCAAGTGTCCTCGATTCAATAAAAATATTAGTAATTCATCCATTTATTACGCACAGCTTTTTTTATTACATTATAAAAATAAATTTTAATATTTAAAATTTTTAATATTATTAACATTTTAATTAATATTGAAAATTATTATATATAGTATTATATATATAATAGAAAGCACTGTCTTATATTATAAGCTATCATAAGTAATTCCATGAACAAAAATCAAAGATATAATATATTATATTCAAAAAATATTTATATGGAAAGAACGTTTATATAGAAATTATTCTTCACGATGTAGTACTTATTGTTAGTCAAGTTTCTTTAACTATTCATGAATTAATAGCCAGTTTACCGAGTTTCTTATCACCTAAACTTACAACATTGATAAAAACCCGGCCACGTGTAAACGCTGAAGCGAGACACGTAACCACAACCGTGTCGCAGGGCAGGCCGGGCCGTCTACTAATGGATGAGACTAAGAGAGTAACCGGTAAAGTTTCGTCGGCCAAGTTACATGAGCGTCTTACACCGACTGGGCCTTAAGTAATTGCTGCGGCTATGTACACATACACACTTGCACATACGGTGCATCGCGGGCGTAGATGCGCAGGTAAGTACGACACCGACGCTGACTCGCGCTCGCGCTCGCACCGTCTAACTTATAATGATCTCTAGAGCGGAGCATCAAATTGCCGCAATGAGGTTGCAGCAATTAATAAAGTTAAGAAACATCGCGGCGGTTGTAAAAGTATGACGCACGCGCGCGAATCTAATTATAGAGTCTTTCTCTTTCGCTCCGCTGCTCGTGTAATTAATTTTTGTAAGGACGCTTTTGTTTTACTATCGACCATCAAATGTCTTGACGACAATCTCAACAGGTCGAATAAGATCAAGTTTAAATGAGACTAATACAGGCTACCAGAAGAAGACTATTATATATAAGAAATAACAGAGACTATAGATATAATAATTCTTAGATTCCAAACGTACTTATTTTTATAATTGAATTTACGTTATGATGTATAATAATAAGATTTCTCTGGAAAAAGCAAAATAAGTTACTTTACGTTAAAAAAAGCTTATTATTAATGATTTTCTTTAAATTATTTAGAACTGTACGAAACTTCGAGTAAAATCTCGATAGCTATCGGGACTTTACTACACCTGCACGTTGATATCGAGCCTAATAAACCACGTCGATCAAGAAGGAAGGAACGCAAATTATCCTTCTCGGCAATTATCCGATTAGATCGCAGAATAGATCTCCGCCTACTTGTGCGAAGCTGAAGGCAGTTGAGGGGAAAAGGCAACTCTTAAATCGTGTGAAATTCATCAAAAGAATGTAATTGCTCAATACTATGCGAAAGCCTGATTTATAATTTTCACGTCAGAGTAGGTTGCCTTCTGCATTCTCGAAAAAAAAAACCAAGGCATAAAGATGCAAAAGTTAGGAAATTTGACTATTTACTCTCTAAATCTGAATCGGTGGATAATCACTGATATCAGTGCAAAGTATGTCATTGATAATCAGTGAATTAAATGTGAGATTCCTAACCTAGCTAATCTTTATTATGTGATCTAACTAACCTTGTTTTAGTGGTTAAATTCAATGAATATGGTATTGGAAGATTGAAATTAACGTGCAAATATCAGTATTTTAGTTATATAATGTTCAAATATTCTTTCTTTTTTAGGTTGAACTTTACTGATTATCAGTGCCAAGTATGCCACTGGGTAATTAGTGACTATCCACTGATTCAGATTTAAAGAGTAGAAAACTAGTTCATTTTATTTAAAAAAATTTTACAAAATCAAACATCCAAAAAGTTTATAACGTTTCAAAAATTTCAAATAATTCTTATTATTTCGATTTACGGATAAGTTAATCAGCTTTATATATATATATATATAATCCTAATATCTTGATACTCAGTAATACGATTATCTTAAATACGAAAAGTACCTTCCGTTCCTTCATCATCGACGCCATATTTTTCATAGAAAATTGAAACGACTTACGTAATTATGTATTTCTTCTCTTTAACAATATAGCAAAATCATTCTGATTACGAATATTATTCGTCCGTTACGCTAATTAAACACAACACGCGCATCAGATCTTTATCTAGAAAATTGTTAGTTTCCTATTCTGCTTCTTTTTCATCGCTTTTTTCCATGTTTACAATCTTAGATGAATTTTGTGAGGCGTAGCTTCTAAATGACAATAATTGATCATGGATGAGCGAGTCCGCTCCCAGCTTGCAACTGACCGTGTCGCTAGTTCTCATTGTTTCATCTTCAAAACTATGCCGCGTCGCTACTTGCACATCCGTTGGCGACACTCCTCGTTCCATATTTACGTTCCCCCCTTTTAACGGTCCCTGTTATTTAGAAATAATCTTGATACTCTAACGAGCGTGTGTAATAAATACACAAGGTAGTTCTCGTTCTTCGATTAATTTATCGGTTTTTTAATATAATTATAAATTAAGTAAATAAATATAAAATATATTCTCGTCTGGCAAGTTTTATGGATACAACCTTCTGTCTTCGGGATATTTTAATTTTTTAAATATCTTCTTTAATTTTAAAATGTAGTTACGTACAAGTATTACAATTTTAACAAACAGTAAAAAATAGCATTTTATCTATCTATATATATCTAAAGATTAAATAATAAAATTACTTATGTAGTGTCTCAATAATTCATAGTGCGGAAATTAGTTAGATGTAAATTAATTCCCATTGTGATAAAAATATAGTTTCAATAGGAAAATATTAATCACATACTCGGTTTATTTCAAGATGCACGATTGACAGAAGGAAGGCAGCGATTCGTTACCGTCCCCTCGTTAATTTCCGGCAGGAAGCGTCGAGGACAGAAAAGCGGTGCGAGCATGAAAGAAAAAATATCTATAATCCCGAATTGATTTGCTCCAGGCAACTATAACTCTGTCATATTAAATCGCTTCTGAAGCAATTAAATATCCTTTTAAATTATAAGTAAGTTTTTATAAATGTTTAAATCTCACGCAATCAAACATTATATGTTTTGTTTCAATAAATTTTACTGCAATATATCGTGTGCTCAACATTATATCTAGTATCATAAATCGTGTCAGAGTATAAAGACTTTTTGCAAACAACAACATCATAGACACAAATCAAGATTGCGATATTAATTTATATTATATTAAATTATTTATATTATATTAAAAAGGTTCGAAATCTATTATCTATATATAGTTCAGCATTATTGATTAATTAATATTAGTTTTATAAATTCCAATTTTGTAACTTTTTAATAAATTTTTAATCTTTAAAATTGAGAGTTAAGTTTCATATATGTTCAAAATTCCTGTTATCTTATTTTCCTTGCTTTCTTTCTTATTCTCATTGCTTGTTTGTTTTTATCAATATTACATCAAATGCTGACATTATATCTACATCGAAAGTTGAGCGTTTTAATTCTATTGGGAATGCAGACTTACGGATTCGATAGCATAAATTTCGAAAATATTTGCATTATATATATATATATATATATGTATATTATTATCCAGTACAACTCGAGCGAGAGACGACCACTGTCTGGCTCAAAGCTCATTGCCTCATAGTAATGTGTTGGCAGCGTCGGTCAAACGCATCGGCTATTGCGGATTCGATTAATCTTGAATCAGAATTTACAGGTAATTCAAGAGCATGCCGAGAGGAACAATTTGTAAAATACACGCCTCGCCGGATTCCAAATGGAAATGCGCGGTTACAAACATATCTCTTTACAGACAGACGGAGCAAAACCGCGCGAGATTTATTCAATCCAATGAAGCCTTCGTTCCAATGTGCACGCGTATTAACACAATCACACGTGGGTGTATTAACATAGCCAGTACAGATGTGAACGTAATACAACGAATACAGGAAAAGCAGTAATAAAAGACTACATGGGAAATAGTGATAAAATAAAAGACAGCACAATTTTCTCTCCGACACAAATTATTTTATTCTTTCATAACGTGAACGTGTCATGTTGGAAACAACAGACAATTCGCTAGTAAAAATATTCAATGTACTGCTAACAGCAGTTGAGAACACAAGAATGCTGAATCAAATTAACGTTGGCGAATAGAGAAATGTTTTTTGACTGCGCACATAGTTCAAGAGTGAATATTTTTGTGTTGTGTGCACGTGAATAATAAAAAAAGGAAAATACAATTTATATATGTTGCAAAAAGTAATAATGTTTATTAATATTTTCCTCCAATTATTATTATGATTTTATTAATTTATTATATTATTATTTGTTTTATAAACTCTGTTTTAATACTCTGTTATTTATAACCTCTGTTATAATTTATCAACAATATGTTA